AAGGAAGATGACAAACAGGCATTGCAGGCCAAAAACAAAGCAGTTTCAGTCTCCTTGCTCATTCTAACGCTTTAAGAGAGAAAGTGAAGAACATACAGGCTAACATCAAGAAGCAGAAAGACCTGGTCAGCAATTTATCTGATATGGTAACCATAGTCCATTGTAGCATGAAGGACTTCTCTTCCAACATGAACTTTTGACTCTACAAGTCATGTCCTCTCTTGAACTTGGTTCTGAAAAAAGCTTTCCCTGTCCTTGTCAGGTGAAACCAAGCTGACACGACAGTCTGGTTTAATCTTTTGTGATTAATTACATAAAAAAGATAAATAAAAGACTCGTAACATCCTGTAACATGATTTTTCCTTTTTAAAGGTATTATTCAGGTGCTGTATTGAACTGTTGAACCTGAAATACAGTATTTTACATGAAATGTAATTTTAACCATGCAGTTTAAAATGTTAACTGGTTTTTTTGTTCTTTCATAGTCAGGTATCTAAACTGCACAGAAAAGAAAATGTTTTTTTTACAGGTCACCCAACACGAGAATGCTATGTGAAATAATGAGTCATACGTTTAATGTTAGTTTTATATTGGTTAAATGTAGAGTTGTGGAACAATCTTCTTTTTTTCCAAAAATGGGGGTCCAGACCCACCTGACCCTAAATGTTCACCAAAGTGAAATTACTTTTAAATATAACAATTATTTTAATTATCAGTTTCTTTTTTTTACTACTGGACATGGGCACCAGTGACACCTGTGACCCTGAAAGGAAGAAGTGGGTATAGATAATGAATGGATTTTTATGTCTTGAAAGAGTACATATATCACCTGATACCAGAGTTGGAAAGCAACTAAGTACAAATACTTTGTTACTGTTCTTAAGTGGAAATTTTGGTTATCTGTATTTTACTGGAGTCATTATTTTTTTTACTTCTACTCCTTACATTTTCACACAAGTATCTGTACTTTTTTACTCCTTACATTTTTGAAAAAAGACAAGTTGTAGAAGTAGCTTTTTTTCCACTTTTGCTTGTTTTCATTCATTTGTTATTGTTAAAATATACTATCATAAAC